CCTCTTTTAACCGCTAGATTTAGGCCAAAAAATAAACCCCACAGCTCAGCTTCAAGAATTTGGCCTTTCCCCAAATTGACAGTGAAACCACCAACCCAGTTGCCCATGTGATCTCTGATGACTCCTCCAGCTCCAATGGACCCAGTACTAGTCAAGAGCGATCCATCCACATTTAGCTTTAACACACCATTCTCCGGGGGGGTCCATGCCAAACTAACTTGGATTTTACCACCTCCCAGTTGATTATTAGTAGAAGCCCTGATCCAATCCTTAGTAGCAGCCAGAATCAAATCTCTAGGATTGAAAGGCAACTCCTCCTTATTTTTGAAAATAAAATCATTCCTCCATTTCCAAGATGCCAGCAGATGACACCAAACAAAGTTTTCCAAGGCAACTCCTCCTTGACTATAATTCAAACTGAAAGGAAACTGCGTAGAAAAGAATGTGTATGATGCTGAATTGAAGGATTGTGACATCATTGTTGATATGATGTTACTGATGTCACGGAACAAATAATTTCCATTTGGGTTACTTACTAACCCATCGAGCAAGAAAACGGGTCCACGTATGCACACAGCCTTTGCCGACTTCTGGCATTGAGACAAAATCTACCAGTCAATTTTGGACCAGAAACGTTTGATGGTATTCACTGTTCACACAGAATAATCAATACCGACTCACACCAAGGCCTTTTCCAAGAAAAATATATTAAAATAATCTTCACCCAAGTATACAAATTGTCGCATACATAGATACATACATCATCTCAGAAAAACAAGAAGATACAGAGGCCAAGAAAGAAGAGGCAAAGTTGCAAACATGGTTCCAGCAGACATGTTTGCTCATCTTGGATCCACGATTGGAGGCTTGATGTTTGTATGGGCAATCTTTCAACAATACTTTCCTTATGAACTTCGGCGGCACATCGAAAAATACTCGCAGAGATTGGTGGGTTATGTGTATCCTTATATCCAAATCACATTCAATGAGTTTACAGGGGAGCGTCTCATGCGCAGCGAGGCTTATTCTGCCATCGAGAACTATCTGAGCTCCAAATCTTCCACCCAAGCGAAGCGGCTCAAGGCTGATATCAAGAACAACCAATCCCTTGTTCTGAGCATGGATGACCATGAGGAGGTCTCTGATGAGTTCAAGGGAGTCAAAGTCTGGTGGGCTTCAGGCAAAAACATTTCCAAGCAGCAGACTTTTTCATACACTCCCATCAATGATGAGAAAAGGTACTACAAGCTCAATTTCCATAAAGGGCAGAGGGAGCTCATAATTGGGCCTTACCTAACCCATGTCTTGAAAGAGGGCAAAGCCATTAGGGTGAGAAATAGGCAGAGGAAGCTTTATACCAACAATGGCTCACATTGGAGCCATGTGGTGTTTGAGCACCCAGCAACATTTAAGACACTTGCCATGGAGCCAGAGAAGAAGCAGGACATCATTGATGATTTAATGGCATTCAGCAAAGCAGAAGAGTTTTATGCAAGTATTGGGAGGGCATGGAAGAGAGGGTACCTTCTTTATGGCCCACCAGGTACTGGGAAGTCCACCATGATTGCTGCCATGGCCAATCTTTTGGGCTATGATCTTTATGATCTTGAATTGACTGCAGTCAAAGACAACACTGAGCTGAGGAGGCTGTTGATTGAAACATCAAGCAAGTCCATTATTGTAATTGAAGACATTGATTGTTCACTTGATCTGACAGGCCAAAGGAGGAAGAGAAAAGAGAAAGTGGAAGAGGATGAAGAGAAAGATCCAAGGGAAAAGCTGGCAAAAGAGGAAAGGGAAACAAAACCCAGCCAGGTGACTCTTTCTGGGCTTCTGAATTTCATTGATGGGCTCTGGTCAGCTTGCCGTGGAGAGAGACTGATAGTCTTCACCACCAATTATGTGGAGAAACTTGATGCTGCTCTCATCAGGAAAGGAAGGATGGACAAGCACATAGAATTGTCATACTGCAACTTTGAATCATTCAAGGTGCTGGCTAGGAACTACCTCAAGCTTGAAGCACACCATTTGTTTCCCAAAATTCGTGGGTTGCTGGAGCAAACCAATATGACTCCAGCTGATGTTGCAGAGCATTTGATGCCCAAGTCCCTTACTGGGGTTGCTGAAAACTGCCTACACAATCTGATCCAAGCTCTTGAACAGGAAATAGAGAATGGGAAGCTGAAAGCTGAGGAAGAAGGGAAAGAGAAGAAATCAGCAGCAGAAGAAAAAGATCAAGACACAGAAGCATCATCTGATAGAAAATGAGAGGAAGAAAATTGGATTTTGGATTTGGGAAAAATAAGGGTTTTGTCTCGTGTAAAGAGAAGCTGTATGCATCATTCTAACTCCACATGAGTTTTCATAAAACAACCAATTTCACCTATTTCCTAAGGTGGAAATTGGGTCTTGCATTTTCATTTTTGTATCCATGTCCCATATAGATTCCCCGCCAAGTATGGCTACATATTTATCAGAAGTAACAATAATACAAGGCAGGCAGACAAAACTAACTGGACTTGGCATTTCAGCAAACACCTGACGCTCAGTTATTAGAGAAAAAGTGCAAAACTTGCATCATTTGGGCAGACAAAAAGTTGATTTCAGAACGCAAATCCAAAGAAGCAGAACAAGCCTAGACACAAAGCTCCGGGAAAACAAGTGGGAATAGGCATGGAAAAAGTGGAACAGAGTAAAAATTTGGGGCTAAAAATCGCCCCAACTGAAAGCATAAACTTGAAGCCAATTTGTTATACTATGAATCGATGGAATTTAAAAACTCACATGAAATTGCAAGAATTCTATAGTGAGGGGCTTATATTATGAAATTGAGCGGCGTTGATTTCCACATTCCAAGTGATCTTCTTTCACTTTGTACTTGGTCATGGAGACAAAATTTAGGGCTTGTACTGCACTGCCCAGAATGCTTTATTGGGCCTTATGTCCAGAATGTATTAGGTGGCCTGTTGTCTTTTTCTTGGGCCTGTATAAATTAAAATGGGCCCAAATTCCTTGTTGGCTGGCTTACATATTACTTAAAACAAAATAACAAAAAATGTTTCTTCTGAGAAATGGTTCAATTTGGTGTTTGATCCAATTTTATTATAATCTTGTTCGGTATATGTATCATCCTAATTAATAATAAAATTAGGGCTGGAATCGGTTCGGTCCGAACCATGCAGCCCATACCGATGACCGACAGACGGACCGGCAGTATACCCATAATTTATATATCTCAATTTGGAATTTATAGAATGCCTTCATATGTTAGGTTTTTCTACAATATAAGAAATTACCTTTACATTTGCCTTGAGTTAATTAATCTACTTGTTAATTCAAACGCATGCTCAAGGTTAATTAATTGAGAGCATCCAGCTCACATCGCATATTAATAAGCTGGAAACTCACAAGGAATTTACAAGGTTCATGTTTTCCATATGGGAAAAATCTGACAAGCTACGTAGAAATTAGAAAGAGACACCAACTACTCCGAAATCACCCTCCTTGACAAAGTAATTCTATCATGACAGCTATAGCTAATTGGCCCAGCCGTGATGGTACAAGTTTTCAATAATGTTTTTCTCCTATCGTTGAGATTCTCTAAAAAATAAAAAACCTAGTGTATAGCAACCAACAAACGCAAAAACTAGTCCAAGCCAGACTAGAATGCATGACTCAGAATAACTTGCTGCGCCCGCGACAAAGACAAGACTCTCAACAGATCTTTCCATTTCTTTTGACTGGAGGCTATATGCTTGAAACAAAGTCATGGAATTTAATCATAAGGTGAAGGTCTCCAGGAAATTGTCCTCGTAATTTTCATAATTTTTCAATTGGACGAAATGAACTTGTAAGTTACTAGAGAGTTTCTGATGTGTAGTTAGGCAATGTTCAACATTTTGAACCCTTGATTTGAAGAAAGATTAATTCATCCGAATAGTTTAATTTGTCTCGTTTTCTGTGTCAATCTTTGGGAGACAAAGCCCTCGCAAACTAGAAGCAACTTCATGGCATTGTTTAGGTAATTTCCTGATATATTTGTGGAAAAACCTTATATTCTCTAAGCTCATAGAGAACCCTGGCCTGACTATAAATAGAGAGGCCCTGAGACAATGAAGAGAGCAACAAAGAAGAGATAAAAGAGGTTGAGGGGTTCATGTCGCAGGAGAGATGGCACGCAAGCTGTGCTCTCTAATTTCCAGCAAGCATGTTCCATCTTCCTGTGACATGAACCCCTCTATTTCTTTCTGCAACTCTACCTAATTTAATTCCTCATGGTGTGGAAAATCTAACACTCTCCAAATTGACAGAGAGAGAGAGAGAGAGAAGAAAAGTTGAGGGATTTATGTTCGCAGGAGAGATGGCACTGTCTGTGGTGCAACTAGCTACCAGCAGCTGGTGTCATCCCTCCTGTGACCATAAAACCCTATAACTTGTAAAACTTTGATCCTTCTCTGCATGTGATATATCTAAACAGGACGCCAAAGAGAGAAAATGGTATGTATCTATTAATTGTCTTCTCTATCTTTAATAACTGCATCCGTGTCTAATTCATATCCATTCATCATCTTCTTACTAATATTTTCCTAATTTTCTTATTCTCTTTGTTAGACTTTTTCTTGCTAAACTCGGCCAAAGGCAGTGCAATTAATTTAATGAAGTTGCCTCTTCATCAAAGGGCGCTTCTCTGATCCCTTCATCAAAGGGTGATTCTCTGATCATCAGCTGGCGGCTGATTTTTAAAATCCAGGCTTGGATTTTGACAACCAGCAGACCAGTCTGAGCTCGTGTTATATAATTATACAATATATATATATATCTTCCTGTGCAGACTTATAATCTAATAACCCAAGTGTGTATTTATAATTATATGGTTGTGTACTAGTGATAGAACAACTAACAAACGTAGGGTCAAGAGAATTAATTAAGGCATCATATAATTTTGTTTACACTGATGAGCATATATATACCTACCGCAACTTGTCCAAAATATATAATAATATAGAGTTTATGAAAAACTGATTTATATATTGTCTTGTCTTGATCACAGGTTACATCCAGCCCAAATCAATATCTGTGGTATGTGGCTATTAGTACTATTATCCTCAAGTGGCTACAGCTTTTGCCTCATTTTCTAGTGGTGCATATTCGATCGTCTCCTTATAGGTTGGGCTCCAACTTGAAGTTTATACTAAAACGTTACGAAAAGATTACTTCTAAAATCATGGCAAATTTAGTTCCATCATTCTCGTTGTCATGATTTTAGAGGTGACTTTGTAATGTTGAAAAACAAATTGTCCTAGTTTTCTTTAGGATTTTATGCCGCCAGTCAAAGTTTGGACGAAAGGTTAAGATTACATTTGTACCTTCATTTTTGGGCCATTGTATCTTTCAAAAATTTATTGGGCATGTGATGTTGAATATGAAGTTTCACTTGTGAAGGGAGAGGCTCCTCCAAAGGAGCAGGTACCTGGTCAGTGGTCGTCATGGACTCTCCTGTGGATCTCTCTGACTTCATGTGTTCGCACCTGCGAGACTGTGTCTACAGTCAGCTACCTACTAAAAGCTAATAATTACAAAGAATAATCAAACAAACCCACTAATTAATAATCAATACGACGTTAATTATTATTATTATATTATTAATCTAGTTATTTTTTAGCTTATAAATTTAAGTACGAGGAGGTATGGGAGGTAAGGTCCAAAAGTATATTGAAAGGGAAATGAAGAAAGGAAGTTTTGAGGGAGTCTTGTCGCAGGAGAGACGGCACTGCAGGCTGCAGCCTCCTTGCTTTGCTTGGTGTTAGTGGTGTGCTTTGTTAACCTAATGCTCTGCTTGCTAGTGCCGTCGCTATGCGACCAGATACCCTGCAACTTCTGCATGCAGCTTCTTGCAGATTGATTAAAGCTTTGGAAAAGGTACACACAACAAACTCCATTGCTACACCCTGAATTATACCAACAACCAATATAAACCTAGTAAATTAATTGGTGTCATTTTCAACATGATTTCATATTCTGCAAAATGTCATCAAATGAAGCTTGACCCTGTCCAAATATGATTGTTTTAGCAGATAATGCTACATTGTTAATTACAGGAGGTCTACTGAGATGATCTCCTTATCATCGATCTAACCACTAAAATCAGGACTAATTAAGTTCCATCAATCATTAGAGTTACGTCACGAGATATGAGATAAGAGGAGACCATAAATATATTACTGATCAATAAAAATAATAACAGTATGTTTGCAGATGGGTTCATCTCACTCACAGCTGTTTTGCGTTGACAAATTTCGTGAACAAATCATCAGATTCATATGTATATATATATATATCTGTCTGTGTGTGTGTGTTATATTCTGTGTGTCCCCTTATCCATGACCATGAGACTTGGTAATGGAATGGTAGTAGTAGTTCCCTTCCTCCAATACTGCCTACCTTATAATAATTTTGTAAAGAACGAGAAATTTGGAGTTTATGTTTGCCCCTTATGATTAGGGGTCGCATATATAGTTAATTAAAATATATATATATATATATATATATAGTTTAAGAATTAAGTACTGGTACTATATATTAATTAAAAATATATATAGTACTATGGCTTTCATTTCATGCCTATAAAATATATGTATGTATGTCTATATAACACTCCCAAAATCCCTATTTCTCGTAAATGAAAGAAAGCAAAACATACAATTCTAAAATGAAGAGTGAGATCATATATATCATCAAATTCGTAGGGGCTTCTGTCGTAAGAGAGATGGCGCCAAATGCAATCATATTGGTTTGGTACTAATTATGGTAGAATTAAAGCTAAGCCAATTTGGGCACTGGGCTTCATCTCTCCTCGACTGAAGCCCCTCACTTTGATCACCGGCAACTCGGAAAAGAAAACAACCCCCAGCTTTATTCATTTCAATTCCAAGCTTGAGAAAGATCAAGGTGAAGTATACTATATATCTTTTTTGTTCTTTTTTTGGTTTCGAATTTTGGATTTTGTTTCTCAACTAAACCTCTTCTTGGATCATGGTATATGCCAAGGGAAAGGAAAAAAGAAATTAGGTACCTCAAGATCCAAGCTGAGGCCAAATGCACCTTTGTTTATCTTCTCCTTTAGCTTGATCAGGCCACCTCCGTCGTCCACTTCTGTTCTACATTCGTGCCGAAAAACGCATGGCCAGAAGACGAGGGTTTCATCTTACTTGTTGTGAAGTTGATGACTTGAAGGCTGAAGGGTCTTTCGACCTAAAAAAGAAGGCTGAAGGGTGAGCTGATTGAGGATCTTCCTGTTCACAAGATATTCTCCACAAAATTTAATGGTTTGTATTGTGGCTGTAGGAAATTAATTAATAACTAAAAATTATTAAAGACTGCACCTGCAGCCTGCAGCTGATCTTATTCAGGTATCGTTTGGGGATTAAGGCCAACCCCATTTTCTCTTTGTCTAATTAAGATTTGAATGCATATAATTAATGTTTGTAATTTATTTTGTTAAGGCATTTATGTTCGAGCATATTTTTGCTCATCACTTTAACCCAAGATGTACTCTCATCACCTTTCTCAATACTTGACATGTGTTCCTTAGCATAATTATAGTTAACTCTTTACTTTGTATTTATACAACTATAGTTATGTCAAAAGACACATGTCAAGCATTGAGAAAGATGGTGAGAGTACTTAAAGTGGGGAGAAAAAATGCCCCCTTTATTTTCTCTATGTGTATATAATTCCAAGTTGTTGGGTATCATTTCTCTTCTCACTGTAGCCCCCATCTGCTCCAATCTAATCCATCTGGCATCTAGGGTACAATGATTCATGATAGGCTTTTTGAGGTTTCTTTTTCTAGGTTCTAGAATTCTCTCTCTAGGTGGCTGCTTTCTCCAGCACCATCCCCATTGCCATTTGCTGTTTTTTTTCATGTCATTCGTACTCTAAAAGGCTTGTCCTTGATTGATCGAACATGGAGATGGAGGGTCCGATGGAGAAGATAAATATGGTTGCTGTTTATAATTGGGAGGTGATTTTACCACTTTCATTTTCTCCACTTACACTCATTTTTATTTTTTAATATTTTTTAATTAATATTGTACTTTTTTGTTCTCTCTTTCCTATTGTACCCTTATTCTACATTGAGATTTAGATAACTGAAATTAAGAAAAGTTAATAAAAAATAAAATAAAAAACAAAAATAAATCTGGAAAATGGATAGAAATGTGAGTATTGTATATCAAATTCTTAGTTTTTTTTTTACAAAGTTTGTGAGTACTATTTATCTTTGTTGTAGTTAATAGATAATAAATTTTTTGGGCTAAAGAATGCTACTAACCAAACTGTCATTAGGAGCTATGCAAAAAGCAAGGTATGCATAATAGTCTCATATTTTTATTTTTCATAATATTTATTAAAGAGAATTGTAGGGTAAGGGTAAAATATGAAAAAGAAAGAAAAAAAAAAAGAACAAAAATGATTAAGAAGTATTAAAAAGCAAGAACGAGTGTAAGTGAAGGAAAGGGAGTGGAAAAATCATCACCCTTATAATTAAGTGCTCTATATAAGCAAAAGAGAGAATTAGAAAATTGTGTAAGTGTGGGCCCCTATTGCTTCAATTCAATGTGTTTGAATTGCCTAACCAATCATTATATATGAAAGCTTGTGAGATATTTGTCATATATAATGTAAGGCACATAGGGAGAATTAATGTCTGCAAACAAAAATAACAAGTAGCCTAGCAGTAGCAGACACATATGGAGAGGAGGAGCTAGCCTACCAAAAATACCTAAAACCACAAAAATCAAAGCTTGCCAATAAAGAAAAGAAATTAAAAGGGTCATTGGGGGGAGAGGGAGAGAGAGGCAATGGTGTTATATCGATGAAAATTTATCTAAAACATTTCAGAGGGTCATATTTTATCCCAAGTTAGGCTCCTAGTAGTAAAAGATCTATTAGTATAGTGATTTGAAATAATTACTTTCTCATGTAAGATTTTGAGTTTGAATTTTGGCATCCGCGTAATGTGTGTGAGTTATTATCGTCCTTCTCAATAAAAAAGGTCCTAAAAAAAAATTACGGCCAGTAGAAGAAACGCCATTAAATCATTAATTTGTATATAGCTATAATATTTTGAAGTTGTTTGGCTCGACAAAACTTGTACGATGCCTCCTTCAACATAAATGCATGTGCTTCTGTGCATGTAATAAGGCTCTGTTTCAGAAAGATTTTGTCAATAACTGGTTGTCTCTCTTCTGTTTCAAATCCATCCATGATGAAATTCGAATGGCGTATAAATTAATAGCTACAATCCAAAGATTGCGTTTTGTATGCTTTATTTGTTTTGATGGGCAGGCACAGTTAAAGGGGTGCATTGAGTGATTCCTAATAATTGTTTTTGCAAGTGCTGATCCCACCACAATAATGGCTACAATCCAAGTAACCTCTGTATTCAAGCGTCGGTGCTACCAATCGTTGATACAAGTGTAAACTCGACAGTTTGTATCAATGGCTGTAAGTCATTCACATGTTGCAAATCGACCATATATCCATCCACGTGTACATCTAGGTAAGTTGTACTTAGCATAGCTAACAATAGTTTTAGATCAGAATTGTGATTTTATACAATGAACTTGTGATTAATATTTTGCTAGTTGCAGCCAAAAACCTAATGGGTGATGCCATGTCCCTTTCCAAACTTTTAACATGCACTAGTGTCCCTACAACCAAATTTGAAGAACAAAAGGAAATAAAGCTATACTATTTTGTCTTATTTTATTTCCCTTTCAGAGTCAACAATTTCTCAAAAGGCTGCCATTGAGTTTGAAAGCTGGAGAGCTGAGGTGGTTCAATGAATCCAATAATTTTATTTATCTCAAACTAGCATACATCTAGATATTTTCAATTTACTTTTTTATGTCAAACTCATTTGATGTTAATATATACCCTATAAATTCATTTATACATACAAGTATATACATCACTTGGAGGGATCAAACGACTTGAAGAATTATGCTTAATTATAAAAGCACTTTAAAAAGGGCTAAAAGTCACTTTTGATCCTTATAGTTTGGCACTTCAACCACTTTTGACCTTATAGTTTCAATTCCATCAATTTTGACCATGTAGTTTCATATTTGTAGCAATTCAAGGACAAGTTAGCATTCATGCTAATTTCTTTAACGATGCAAAGGGCAATTTCGTCAACTCAAAATCCTTAAGCATAAAAGTTCGTCTGAAACTCCCCTAATTTCATATTAGGGCTTGAAATTGGCCATTTGGGTTTAGGGTTCTTCAAAAATTGAGATTAGTGGTTGAATTTCGAGCCCTAATATGAAATGGAGAGAATTTCAAACAAGCTTTTACGCTCAAAGGTTTTGGGTTGACAAAATTGCCCCTTGCATCGTTAAAGAAATTGACAAGAATACTAACATATCCTTGAATTGCTACAAATACGAAACTACAATGGCAAAATTGACAAAATTAAAACTACAGGGTCAAAAGTGGTTGAAATGCCAAACTACAGTTACCAAAAATGACTTTTGGCCTTAAAAGAGAGAGATTTTTCCCTCTCTCTCCACTCCGAGAATATGTGCCATGCCACGGAAAGCCATGGCCTGTCTGGCTCTAGGGGCCTCCATAGTCGCAGGGTCATGGGCCTCGTGGCATAGGCCGAACAAAATTGGATTATATCCAGATGCAAGTGAATCGATATCATGGCAATCGAGGAAGAAAGAAACAAACCTAAAAACATAACAAGAGAAGACCAAAACAAGTATGAAATATTAATGTGGCAGAATCAGACAAGGTGGATCCAAAAGTTGCACAGAATCAGACAAGTTTTCTTGGGATTTCCTATTTCAAATATACATCTTTCCAGTAGCTCTTACACCCCCATCATCGGTTTCAAAACACATTTCACTGCAGCAGACGAAATGGCTGGGCATGACAAATACAGTATCCAAAAATTTCGAAGAACAAAAGTAAATGTGGAAAAGTGCTAACCTACAAATCATCTAAGTGGCAGTCATCATAGAAGGAAGAATCTAGCCAAGTAATTGACACAACTCCACCAAATTCATCACATCCTTGCCTCTCCATAATTCAGAGGTATGTGCATTATTTCCTTCTCTTTCAACTATAAGAAATACTATTTCTCTGATCATGCTGTATTCTACCGTCAAGTGTAAACCAACTGAACTTGGCACAGGGAAGCAGTTCCACAAGCAGTTTTGAGTTCTTGTCATTTGCACTGTTTTGGTCGGAAATTCTCATTGGACAATAGAGAGCTGATCAAAACTTCTAGCCGTCTTGCTCCAGGGCTAGGCCTGAGGACTGTAGTGTTACCAACAACAGAGCATGGATCAGACCCATTGTCCCTTTTTCCTATGCACCAACCACCAGGAACAAGCATACCTGGACCCTTAAACAACAACTCAGAATCGATTTTGTCAAGCACTGGATCATCTTGGTGAAACTTTCTTGCAAAGGGAGCCTTGCTGTCAATCATCCTTTGCATGTCTCCAAGGTTAAGGTGGTGAGGGTGTTGCTTCGGAGGGTTGTCCCATGTTATGAAATGCAGATCACTATTCACAGTTGTGTTGCGGAACTCTTGAGCATTACAAATGACGGTGTGGAAGTATCCTTCAGGAGATGATAAAAAGTTTGCATAATACATGAGAACAGTTCGAGGTAGGTTGTCCCATCCCCATACGCAGTAATCAACAAAAGGCTTAGAAAGTGCCATCCACGCAGAACCTATGTGAGAAAGAAGACATTTGGTTAAAATAAAACTTATGGCAACAGGGCATGGTTCTGAATGTAAACCTACGAATATTTTCCAAGGGAGCAGTTGGAAAGGAGCAACAGGTGGAAAATTGACAGCAAAATTGGCAAATTTCATTACAACACCACATTTTCAAATGTTAACAAAGGCAAAGGTCTAAAAGGAACTATAATAGTGTGGACGGTGAACTTCTTGAAAAATCTGCAGAGTAAAAAAATTAGCTCCCTAGAGGACCTTTAGAATATAATGGTCCCAGAGAGCGGTGAGGATATAACTTTTTTTTTTCTTCCTAAAATCAGGGACCACTCCTCAAGATATTCATATGTTTTTTATATGTAGAATATACAAAAATCCCTATCGTTGTATAAAGATATTAAAGTAGTAAGTGAAACAACAAGCATAATATAGGTAAGAGACTCAAATTTTAAAGCAAGCAACATAGAATCAGATTATGTTGCTAAATGCTTTCATGCATCACTGCCAATAAATTGATCATGGTAAACGATCCCACATAGTGAGGAAAAAAGCATGCTAAGCTGTTCTTTTATGCCTAATAGAGAACTATGGTCCAAATGCACATACACCTATTATAATTTTCAACTAAGCAGAACAAGAGAGTATAAAACACAAACACACACACACACACACACACACACAAGTTGTTTCGTTCCATTCCCCAGAAACAGAATTAGGTTTCTAGAGCTGGACAGCAGATCAACACAGAGTTGTTACAGAAAGTCTTTCCTAAAATGTAACTGTTCTGGGCTCATCAATATGATGTTCTATCCACTTCGGCATACATGAAATTGAAGAGACATCTTTTCATAACTCAGAAGATGTTATAGAAATCGGTTTTCCAATAAAACAACCAGAGAGGGTTTAGATATATAGCCTCATCCAGCAGATCAAAATTGTTTCAATGGCTTTTTTTAATAGCTCTGGGACATCCTTCTTTCCTTCAGAAGTTGCCTCTGCTTATGCATCTCATGTTTTCTGTGACATCCCAATTCATTTAACATCACAAAAAACAAAGGCAGGGTATAAATTGACAAACTTTCATTGTCTTACTGCATAGCACTTGAACACCCAGCAAGAAACACTTTTGAATGACAAAATAACTGTTTACTTCTATTCCAATTTTCAAATCTATAGACTACTAAACAAGTTCAAAAAACTGAAAATCCAAACAGAAAAGGACAATGATTTCCATTCCTAACTATACATGTATATATTTTAAATATTTTTGTTATGTTTGGGTTTCTATGTGACATATAAGATTCTATCTTTGCTCAGATGTGCTCTAAGTTAGTACTCCTATTTCATTTCTTATCCAATCAAAATAGCAACTTCGGTTTTAATCATGTTTTATGGTCTAGGGGCGTGCTAAAAATTTGTACCTGTAAAGAGTTTGAAAGCTGTTGGCACACTCCTTCGCTGTGTAACCCAAAAAACATCAGCTTTTTTTGTCATATACAACCCCGGATCTACAATTATCGGTTTTGCTCTTTGGTACCTATAAACATGCAGCATTACAAATCGATGAGACAGCTTTACTTATTGATAAAAAAAAAGGGGAAAAAAACAGAAACTGTATAAATATAGACAACAAAGAAAAGGGGAAGTTGTGCATACTCTTTCCACCCAATGTTGCTAGTATGATCGATGAAATTAAGATCGCGCGGTAAGTATGAGAACGTGTGCAGCAGATCTAATTAACCACAATAATCAAAACCCAGTAACGAATTAGTCAATTTTTTTAATTTTTTGATAATCAACCAATTAGTCAAATTAGAAACAAAATCAACCAAAGATAGACCAAAATCCCAAAACCAGACTCACCATCCTGAGTAACAAGTGGGTAATCAGAAGCACTGAGATTGATAAACCAATCCCAATCGCCGCCTTCCTTCAACAAAATAGCGGCAGCGTGAAGCGTGTTGGCCACCATAGTCGGACCCCTGTAAGTGACAAGATTGGCCTTGGTGATCATCTTCACATTGCCGAACTTTACAAAAACGGGGTGGGTAGAAACGTAATTCTGCAGATCCAGACGCTCCTCGGGCGGTGCCTCGAGGTCCAAGTGAACCACATAGCGGTTGTGAGGGTGGTAAAGGGCTTCAAGGGTCCGCTTGAGCATTTTGCCATCGCCGTTGGAGCCGGATATGAAGTAAGCGAAGCGCGGAGGAGGCGGGAAATAAGAAACGGGCAGTGGGTGGAGCTTGGATTCGATGAAAACGGAGCTGGAGATGGAAAAGGAGCGGTAGAAGGGAAGCAGAGGCGTGCCGTCAGGTGAAGTGAGCGTGGTGAGGAAGAGAAGGAAGAGAGAGACGATGGAGCCTATGGCCAAAGGGAATATCCATTTGAGCTCCATGGGCTGGTGGTGCCTCAGATGCGTGTAATAGCTCTTTAGCTTCTTCATGTTTCAGCTCCTGAAAACCCAAAATTCCAAATCTCTCTCTCTCTCTCTCTCTCTCTCTCTCTCTCTCTGACCCTCCAACTTCCAAAAAGCTTAATTGAGCTGTTTTTAGAGAGAGAGGAGGTTGAAGTTGAAGATGGAGCTTGTTAACATGTGTTTTGCTTGTTGGGAAGGAAAGTGAGGGAAAATGAAAATGAAAGAGAAAATGATGATTTATGGTGGGCAAGGAGGGGAGTTGATTAAATGAGTGATTAGTGACTAATGAATTGTTTTGTGTTGCTGTTACTGATTTAATCTGCGGTTTGAGATTTTGAGTAACTGAGTTGGGTTAGGGGCTAAGTGGGGGGTTATAAAGGTGAGTTTAGAGGGGCTTTGTTTAATGGCTTTGCACGTACAGAAGAAGGGTCCTTATTAAGCGACAAACGAAACCAAAGTCTACAAAACTTGCAACATACGTACGCCTAATTTTGCCAACTCGCCGTGACAATAGGGCTAAGTCGCCTAAGCCAATTATTACAAAGTAGAGGATTTTATCTATATATGCGTTTTCTTGTAAGACTTCAAAAGCTTTCAAATTCTACCGGATTTTAGGGAAGAAATCGAAGCTACCTTACAAGATTTAGACCTTGTTTGTTAACATTTTTAAGACTTGCTTTCTGTTTTATAAGAAAAATTATTTGAGTGATTTGTATTCAGGTTGACGGTATAAGAATAGTTGTCAAATGACGTGTTCTCGTTTTCGGACTTTAGTTTAAGCCGAAAAGAGAAAACAAACTTGAAACAAAATGGGATTCCATTTTTCGGTTTTTCTTGTTGGGATTAATTGTGGGGTTTTTTTTTATATAAGAAAATTTTCATTTCTTATTACTACATAATATGGATTCAATAATGGAAAACGCAAAAATCAAGGTAGATCCTGAGAATAATTTTGGAAGGTTGACCTGTATATATAACAAACAATTGGGGTCTTTTGCAACAAGTTTAGGGTCAACCAAGACAATAACGTCAAATTTAAACATTCGCCCAGTCAGGTAATCTTACCGCTTGCATCCAAGTTGTGTTTTTAAGTAACAAATATGCTCTCGGAACTAAGTTTATTGCATCACGTCATTGTGGATCCCTTTTTGTATGTCAACTGTGAGTTCGAAACTTGGAATCATAATGCCCACGCCCATGAATAAACAATTTTGAAGTATATAAAAAATAAAAATACATAAAATAACATGGCACATATGCGAAGAGTTCCCAATCTGAATTGCATAAAAAATCATGTAATCAAAATAATTAGTCACCTAACATTTCGCAATGGTCTGCAGGAGAAAAGTTCTAAAAAGAGTAAGAAGTGAGTTTGGACATTATTTATTTTAATGTCAAAAGAAATAACAAAGCAAGTTCGTGTGCAAAATAGTCAAATTTTCTTTTTTAGGTTGAAGCAAACAAGTTTCTTCTTCTTCGTCGTCCTTCTCTTTTCCTCCTTTCCTCTTTTTTGCTAATATGTGGACGTAGACTGAGTAACCACAAAGAAAAGTGAAATAGACCCTTTCAGCAAATTATAATCATGAAAAGCTAGGAGGAGCGTTTAGCATGCTGATTGCGAATTTGCAATGGCACGTCTTGACTAACCCACATGATTAGTATTTATTTAGTACTGACATTTCATGTGGACCCCAACTTGGGATCGGGGGAACCCCTCTCCATCCTCAACTACCAACCATACCTAGAAATTAATCTCATCCAATATTCTCAACAATACCAAATGACTTAAAAAAAGACATGAGTTAGCTCAATTGGGCCACGGCATCCTTTACATCCAAGTTCGAATCTTCCTTACGTATATTAGATTAATTTAGAATAATTTTGAGTATAGCTTGTATAAGAAAAGAGAGAGTTTATGGTGAACTAGCTGCAGCATTTGTTGGAAAGTAGGCCATCGTCTACCATGAAGGGGCAGGCAGAACCTCTTAAAATCTAAGACTTGTTGGTTCATTAATTATATCATCTAGGGTAGGAGTGACATGGACACAAGAAGGATAAAGCAGACAAGATGATGACCATGCACCAACTTGAGGTTGGGCCTCCTAGAGATTCAGGCTTTAATATTCAGCAATGAAATAGCATGTTGCAGACATGAAATTCTAATACAGATAAGATTCTTGGTCTTGCACAATAAAGAAAGAAAATAAATATCAGTTTTATTAAGATGTTTTGTCAGCAAATGATATGAAAAGATAAAGGATGATTGTCAATGCGTTTTGGTATAATGCACGTTTGAACATGTATATATGCTGCAAAACCTTAAATATGGAGCAAGGTATATCTCTTGTAACTCTTGTAAGTTCACATGCTATGGAAGAATAAGTTCAAAAGCTTTAACTAACTATGTCTACCGGCAAAAAGGGGAAGCAAGGGGAGAAAATCAGTATAAGGAAATAATTGAGATCATAGGGATTTTTTTTTCTCAATAGGATCATGATTTACCAACCTGAAATTATCAGCACAACATGTGATGAGACTGAAAACACAACCTGTAACCAGGAGACTTTAACTTGCTTAGATAGAAACATGCCTTTAATTGAGCAACAAAAACCAATCCCCAATTCGTTAGCTTTTCCACAGAAGTGATTCTGAAAAGGATTCTCCAAAGTCTTCTCAGCTTGCTGGCAACAATCATCCTTGATTAATTCAACTCAAACAAGATATTATCTATACAGGAATATACAAAAAAAAAAAACCATTAATTTTTGGGTAAGACAGATCTGAAATGAAATAGCAACTTAGCAAGTGAAGCTAAGGATTACCTGACCACTCCCCATCTGATTTCCTCTTATGTATCAGCAGCACCAAAAGTCTAAATTGATTGTACAGAGGCCAGGCTCCAATCAAAAGGGGTTAAAAATAGTGTAGAGCCCCGTCTTTAGTCGCTTCCCTGATTAAATTATAGCACTTTAGCAAATCAACAATTTATGAAAAGAAAAGGACCAGCCTAACAGCTATCAGAGTTCTCAGATCCTTCACATAGAAATTGGAGGAAACAGGGTTACATTAATTTCTGCATGTATGTATAGATAGAACATACATCCGAGTCCAAAATGTAGATGCTATCATACTGGTAATTTAACTTTGTTGCGGCGAATGCACTGGTCACTAAGTACAATATCTACAGAATAACCAGCAGAACTACGCATTTACAGTTATAGGGGAAAAGTTATAAAACACAGGCTGTGGACTTCTAAAGAGGTTCATGATTTCAAAATTCCTCTTTCATTCATCTTGTTCATGATCCGGGATGCATCATTAAGTCTGTTTGATCTTTCATAGATGCTGGCAACAACAAGATGCAACTCCTTCTTGTTGATGTTGGGATCACACATCAGCCTCTTAAACAGTGCCTCTACCATCTTAAAATCCTTTCTTGCACCATAGAGACTAAGCATCTGGAAGTGAACTTCATCAGAGAAAACACACCCTTCTTCCTGCATCTCCCTATATAAAGCATCTGCCTTCTCAAATTCCCGTAACTTTCCAAAAGCATTGAGAACTAGATCAATCACATTTGAAGCAGGAAAGTATCCTGCCACTCTCATCTTCTCAAACACCTCAATGCAATTTGCGTACTTGCGGTTTCTTGAGAAAAGATCAATCATGCAACCAAAGACAGATATATCCTTCACCTCCCCAGCATCAAAAGCCTGGCGGAAAACCCATGTAGCCTCTTCTATGCGACCAGCTCCTGCAAGAATGGTGATTGCAGTCTCCCTAGGGATGTTGTCTGGGCGCTTGAGCTCATGAAGTAAACGCTTAGCATGAGCAACCAAACCTACTCTCTCATACGCCACAATCATTGTCTGATAAAGAACCTGATCAATCTCAACCCCGGAGCTCCTCAGCTTTTGAAACAGCATTGCTGCCCGATCCAGTTTCCCAGCCTTACCCCATATAGATATAATCGTTGAGTATGTCATTGCATTGGGCTGAATCCCTCTGTTCTGCATTTCTTGCACAAGATTTGTAGCTTTTTCATGCTCAAGGGACTTCCCGTAAATCTTAATCATCGTATTGTACGTGACAACATTCTGCTCAATATCCATTCTCTGCATCAATCGAAAAAGATGGATGGCTTCCCCAAAAAGCTCAGCATCGCCATAAACCCTCAAAAGAGTATTGTAACTAACAACATTGGGTTCAAGTCCCATCTTCCTCATACTCCAAAACAACCTATCAGCTTCCTTAGCCATATCGAGCTGCCCGTAAACATCAATCATAATATTGCAGGTGGTGAGATCAAGGGGACACTTAACCTCATTCATCTCAGAGAACACAGACAATGCCTCAACAAACTTTTGGTTCTCAATATACATACTTAGAAGCGTCGAATAACTAACTGTATCCGGCAAAACACCCACTGCCCTCATCTCTTTGAGCAGAAGCCGAGCCTCTCTGAACAACTTGGCCTTCCCAAACACATTAATCATCGAGTTGTAAGCCACAAGGTCCGGCATAATACCCAGCCTCTTCAACCTCGAAAAAATCGATATCGCCTTAGAATAATCACACAACTTACGCGATAGCTCAATCAAGTTGCTATACAAAACAAGATCGCCTGAGACGTGGTCTTGTTCCATCTTTTGGAGCCAAGAAAGCGCAGAATCAAACATACCCGCCTTCCCAAAAGACGTAATAAGCGTAGAATAAGTGTACCTATCGGGTGCAAGCGCTCTTTGGCGCATTTCCTCAAACAGGCCGTGTGCAATCTCCCACTGCTTGGCGCGAAGCACATTTCGTATCACAACATTGTAAGCGAACACAGAGGGAGTGTACAGAGCTTCCTCGTTAATCCAGTCGAGAATAGCGAGCGAGCGTTGCCAATCAGGCTCGCGCGAGAGCAGCGAAACCATGAACCTTATTGAGAGCTGCCTCCCTTTGTAGATTGACATTAGAGAATACAGCTCTTGCTCGTTTTGGGTCTGACCGATTGATGACAAGAGCTCGTCCATGTCAATGCTGTGGTCCAAATGGGAGGGTCCTTGCTGATTTCTAGGGTGGCGTTTCTGAGTAAGTTGGTGGGAGGGTGAAGAGGACGGCGTCGTTTTGAGCTTCGGCGTTCTCCTCCAGACATGTTTGGTTGTTGAAGAAGCTGAGAATGCAATAGGCGGGAACCGAGCTCTGGGTTTTCCTTCGCGCCCCTTGAAGGTGAAGGGTATGGAGGTGTAATTATGGGTTTTGTTGTGGGGCAGTAATGGAAGAGAGAAGGAAGAAGATGTTGTGCCGACTTGCATGGTTGAACAAGATTGATTACATGTAAACGAAGACCGTTTATCTGTGGATTTTTTTTTATTTTTTTTTCCTGGAACCAAAAAAGAGAGGCTGTGTTTGGCTTCTTTCTTTCTTCTGCTAACTACAGACAGAGGCGACAGTGACAAGAAGGAAGGTAATAATACAGCTCACCGCAAACACAACTTAAGAGTAGAAATATCCAAAATTGAACGATTTAGAGCAGGAATCAAATTTGAACAGTAAAAAATGACCTTGTTTATTTTGTTATTTAGTAGGGTAAAATCAACTTTATATATTCATCGAATTTGTCAATTTTCACATCTTATGTGAAAATATTTGCCGAACTTCATTCAAAATCTACAGTAGTTGCAAGGAGTTTGTAGTTCAAGTTCAAGTAGTTAAAAGTAATTTGTGTTTGAAACCCTTAACTCCAATATCGCTTGCAATAGAAAAAAAGACCTACAATACTTCGTTTGGACATCAATCCATCATCATTTTGGTTATGGGCTTCCTGTGATATTGGATAACAATTATATACAGTGGAAAAGCCACAAGGATAATTTCTGGGCTACAAAATTATTTTTATTATTATTTTTGGTACAAATTTTTCGATATTACAAGTATTTTTGGCAAAAATGCGAACATAATTACAAAAAATAAATATCAATATATCCAAGCAGGCAAGTGAAAATGAAAACCAAGGAAAGATTACAAGAAAAAGCCAAAAAATGTAGAGAAGAAGATTAGCAGCTCCAGTACAAATGGATTGTTCAATTGCCTTGAAGCGGAAGGAGCAGGAGAAGGAACAGATTTTGGATGGGAGGAGGATGTAACGTTCTCTTTGGAGCAAGTGTAGTTGCAGCGACTAGGCCTAACAACTCTATACAAACCGGAACTGGCCAGGATAAAGATGTCCTTTCTGTTATCCTGTCCAAAGGAGAATATGAACCCCAGTGCAGGGAGAGAACTTCCTGCCTCAGTACTGCACTGGATAGGAGAGTCCAGAGCACAACTCACTGGAATTTTAGTGCTCGTGAAGTTTCCGCTGTCTTCAGGAGTTTCTATGCCTGTCCATATACCGCCAGCAAACAAATCTGCATAAAGATATCTGCAAACATAATTTGCAGACTGTTTAAGTTAAATATAATTCTATGAAGTCTTTTTGGTTATCGAAATATTGGAAACGGTTGGCTTACCTTCCATGCATGCATGGATCTGTTGTGGATCGGTAAAAGTAACCGCCTGTGATGGATGCAGATCCTTCAGCCTTGTTCACATCAGAGTGGTTGTATCCCATTACAGGGAAAATTGGGTTAATGGAGGTGGCAGATGTATTTCCTCCTGGAGATTTTGGTGGATTGTATGGAGAAGGACCCTCATAGATACGCCATCCATAGTTTCCACCCTTGGTGATTATATCAACCTCTTCATATTGATCCTATAAAACCATTATTTTAAGCACTGATGATACTAAGAACAAAAACAAAGAAGGATAAATATTGAGAAGTTTGCAACAAGAAGAAAAAGAAAGTGCAGAAAACATGCACGTATCGAAGAAAAAAGAGCTCTACATAGTGAAGGTAAATGAACTAATGAAAGCTTAATCCTTGGTTGAGGGACAAAATGTGAGAATCATATGGTTTACAGCCCCCAAAACCCACCACCCACCCCACCCTCCCCCCCNCCGCGCATGGATAGAGAACAGAATGCAACCATATGACCAGAACTCTTCTCAAATCTGACCAAGCTATTGTATTTTTACTGCAATTTTGTAAGACATCCTTCATCTGAGGTATATAATGACATGCTTTAATGCATATATGGTTTTCTTAAAATAGTCCAAATGGATTAGCACCTACTCAAAAGAACATATAAAACATCGGAAAATTAGTCACAGTTGCTGTCTCTAACCTGACCAACATCTGCACAAAGGAAGTAGGAAGGCCTTTCGAGATCAAAACTACATCGCCAAGGATTTCTAAATCCCAAAGCCCAAATTTCAGGCTGCAATTCCTTATCTTCAGAAAATGGATTATCTCCAGGAACAGAGTAATTTCCCCACAGGCCAAGGTCGGTAATTGTCATTGCACCTGCATACAAGTATTTGCATACATGAGAAAACACACACACACACACACACACACACAGAATATGGTGTCCTGAAGCCTTGTAAGTTTAAGTCATTACTCACTTGGCAAGTTATCTATGTCAAGCCTCATAATCTTTCCAAGCAAGGATTTCTTGTTTTGTGAAAAATTGTATGGGTCGCCTATGCTCCCACCATCTCCCATCATGAAGTACAGAAACCCATCTTTAGGTCCAAACAAAATTTGACCTGCATGATGGGAAGTAAATGGAAGGCCCATAGTGAATATTCTTCTGACTTCCAGTGGTTTTACACTAGTAACCTGAAATACAGACCAAAACAGTATCAATTAGGATCATTGCTGACAATTACAAGAAAAAACTATTTAAAATTATGCAGAAATTTACCAAGGAAGGTTGCGACGTTGTACCATTTGCAGTGAACTCTGCTATGATACTGTGATACTGGCATGGCTGGGCACCATTATCAGAACCCAGCTTTGAAGGATCACATCCCACATCTGAGTTACATGAGCATCTACCGGAACATTCTGGCCAATTAACCTTGTCACAGTTGAATGAAGCAAAGAAACGGCCATTTTGCACATAGTTAGGATGAAATGCTAATCCCATCATTCCAAACTCAGTATCAGCATACACTTCATCAGTTAAATCAAGAAATGGATTTGATTTATCAATCACCAACATTTTTCCTGATCCCTCCTCAGGAACAGTTGCCATCCATACTTTACCCGGTTGGTCAGATAAGAAGACACGATTTGATCCATCAGGATGAGCTACCATGTTAAGATAAGATCCATTTCCAATTTTTTCAAGGCACATACCACTTGGGGGAGTTGGAATTTCAGAATTGTTTAGCAACACAGGTCCGCCATCAAAACAGAACAACTCACTTTCTGAGGATCCACCAAATGTGTTACAGAAATCATTTTTTGACTGCCATATATCACTCAGCTTGGAAGTAGAATTAGATGGTGTTCCACCTCTAACTTGCATTGAAAATGGAGAATTTAATAGAGACACATTTTGGCATTCATCCCAGACCTTGGAGCAAAAGTCAACTCCACCAGGTTGGTACTGTCTTGAGTTTGGTGAAACGGTTGAGTTGCAGAGAATGGGAACTTTACGCGGTACTGATTCAATCCTATATAGCTCTGCAGAAAACTGATCACATCTCTGCAAAGCATGTGGGATTCAAATACACATGAACTGGTGCCCAATGGTTCCATAACACTTAACAGCAGTAGCTAGTAATAACAAGTAAAAAGGTGCTGATACTAAATGAAAATTATATCTTTAACGAAAGTTATAAGATTCTCTTACCGAGCAAAGTATCAATTTTACAAGAGAAGCACAACCAAGATCAGAAACATCCATTGTTTTAAATAGATTCTGCAATTGCATATCCTCAGTAGAATTACAGCAAACACTACCATTGTATTGACAGAAAGTAAGTGGGGCCTTTGGGGTGAAGGGTGACCCTATTTCAACAAAGCAGCCAAAGAAACCAATCAGTGACTTACAAAGAAATGAAACTTTGAACCAAAGTAATGAAAAGGATTAGTGCCTTACAGGAATGCAAAATTCTGTCTTTTTTGGCACAACCAAAAAAAGCATTAAGCCATTAACAAAAGAAAGGGAAAACCAGATAAAAGATGTTAACAAAGAAAAACTTACTCATATTAGTACACAAGGGATGCGAAGAAGAAAAATCCGTGAGCAGCAGCAGCAGCAGGTTACAGAACACGAAGACGACAATCGTACTAAAAATTCCACTCATCTTTCAAAACAAAACCCACCTCTCTATCTTTCCAACAGAGAATTGAATGATCCAGTTACTGTACCATCAACCAATGGCCCAAATATGAACAAAACAAATAAACAACAAAATGCAATATTCTCCACAGAATCAACTACCCAGTTGGTTTTCTCTCTCTAGATTTTCATAGTTCCAAATATATGTTAAACTATGAAGGTATCCTTACCCCACTTCAAATAATAAGTACAATTATTCCATAATAGCTTTGGTGCAAATCAACCCTGGGTTGTTGTCTTTATCCCCAGAAACAGTTGACGTTTTCCTTTTTTGAAAATCCATGGATATGAAAGACCAGGGAAATCAATAAAAATACAAACTTTATATAATAAACAATAGGAATGCAGCAACTTCTGGGTGGTTCGTCATGGTTGACTTTACTCGACAATATCGGACGTAAAAGAATAGAATGCGGCAAGTTGACAATTTGAACTCAACGACCAAATGACATATCCCTTAAAAGTTAAGAAAAAAAAAAACAAACCAAACCACAAGTGGGGTTCTGTTTTGTCAAATAAAAGAACCAGCGAAGACAATACAAAGAAGCCGAAAAACAAAATCTTTTTCTATCTGATTCCATTTGATTACGTTAATAAGAAAATGAAGAAAAACCAGCAATTTCTGTACTCCCCAGACAAGTTGGGGAGGGGAGAGGACTTGAAAATCAGTCATTCCTTGGCTTGTTCTTGAGAAATCCTTGCTTCACTTTTTCTGTCAGGTGTCTTGACATTTTGTTTGGAAATGCGACTCAAGCTGTGTAGAAGGGTGAATTGAAGCATGAATGGCTTTGTTAAGTTGGTGAGTCACAGCTTGGAGCTCATACAGAAGGTGCTACCCTTGTGCCTACACGTGCTCAGCCTCCATAGAAGGAAATATAAACATATTTTTATATTTAAATAATATTTAAATAGTATAGCCGAACGGCTATACTTCTGCAATATATTTTAATATTTAATATAGTATAGCCGCGCGGCTATACCTCTGAAATATATTCTAATATTTAAATAGTATAGCCGTACTTCTTCAATATATTTTAATATTTAAATTGTATAGCCGCGCGGCAATACTTTTAAATATATTTTAATATTTAAAGTTTTAAATAGTATAGCCGCGCGGCTATACGCCCCCACAAAAACCGAATAGCTTAGAAAGCTTAGAAAAGTCATAAGCCAAGAAGAACCCAGTCCTAGCCAAGTCCCTAAGATAAGTCTTAATACTACGCTAGAAAGGTTTCATAAAAAGAAAGAAGTCACTCTTCAGGATCTCCAGTTAGAAGTCAAAACAGTTAAGAAAGAAATTTCAGAATTAAAACAAATAAGTCAGAAGTTACAAACAAAGAACTATGAAAATAAACAAGATTTAGTAAAATTGTTAGAGTCTAGAGTAGAATCTAGTAATCCCTTTGGAAAGTCTAGTTCTGAGTGAGAACCTGAGTCCTCTGATAGTAACAAAAGTGACAAAGTAATTAAATTAATTAAACAAATTAATTTTAGAACATGGTATTCCCGAGTTAGTATTTTTATTGGTGAATTTGAGTTGAACACAGTTGCCCTTTTTGATTCAGGAGCCGATTTAAATTGTATTCAGGAAGGTCTAGTTCCAACCCAGTTTTACAAAAAGTCAAAAGAAGTCTTAGGAACAGCGTCTGGTAAAGCCTTGAAGTTGAAATATGAATTTACCTAAAGCCCATGTATGCCAAAATAAAATATGCTTTAAGACGTCCTTCGTCCTAATTCAAGATATCACAGATGAAGTAATTCTAGGTTTACCTTTTATCTCATTACTTTATCCGTTCAAGGTAGAATATGATGGAGTCACCTCAAGTCAATTAGGAGAAAGAGTCAAATTCGAGTTCCTAACTAAACCAGAGTTACACAGTCTTAAGTTACTCTAAAAGTCAGCAGTATCTAAGTCAGTTAAATTAATTCAAAGTAAAAGTAAACAAATTAATTTTCTTAAAGAAGAAATTAAATTTAAACGAATATAACAACAATTAGCCGACAAGTCACTTTAGTCACAAATTAGTAAATTTGAAGAAAAATTAAAAAATGAAGTATGTTCTGATATCCCTAATGCCTTTTGGCACCGAAAGCAGCATGTCGTTTCTTTACCCTATATCAAGACATTTAGTGAAAAGAATATTCCTACCAAAGCCCGTCCAATTCAAATGAGTCAAGCGTTAATGGAATTATGCAAAGCCGAAGTCACGGATTTAGTCAACAAAGGAATAGTTAGAAAAAGACCAAATCTTTTGCATTTAAAACATTTAACTTTGCTTTTGTCTGTCTTTTTCTTAAAGTGACTCTTTTTACTTTGTTGATTGCCTTTTGACTATTTACTTTTCCTATGGGTAAACTTTCTTTTACTATAAAACTCATCATTATTTCTGAAAGAATTTCTCTTCCGGGAATAATGACGACTTTTACTAAAGCGTTTAGCATGACCTTTTTTAATTTGTCTAGATGGCGGGACCGATGCTAGACCATATTGTTCGCAGAAATTACCTAACTCATACTTAGCATTATTTCTGTCGGCTTGGATTGATTTACCTATTTTTAAATCTACACACATTTTCATACCAACTTGGTTAATTGTACTAATTATATTACCATAGGTTAACTCATCGTAATTGGTCTGTCCTGACTCATTGCTTAAGACTGTTCTAATTTTATGGGCAAAGAGATTAGGGAGACCGTTTATGAATTTTTCTTTCCAAAACGTTTGGTTACTATCATCTCTTAGCATGACTTTGGAAATAAAGACATCTTTATACAATCTAAAATCACTTAATTTTGGGCATCTGAGATTACTTAACTGGTCATGAATCCTAGCTGTTGTACTACTGGGTGTACCAATAAAATGCTCAATTATAGTATATAAAAGGACATTGACTCTGTCTTCTATGCTTGTTCCTATTCTTTCGTCTAAAATAGGGTAACCGTCTTCATTTGTTTTAAAGGCATGGATTATTCTTAACTTTGCATCTTCTGTGAGATGTTTATCCCACCAGAAACGAAGTGTTCCTGTGAAGCCTGTTTCTAAAAGGGAAACTATTTCTGACTGTCTTAACTGATGATTAGTGGCATAACTATTGGCGACCATAGACATATGCTGTAACTTGTTGAGTATCTCCTATTCGGACAAGCCATCGATATTCCACTCGTATAGCTTATCAGAAGACACTGAGAATTGACTCTGGGTTCTTTCTTCAAACTGGACATCTGGGGGCGTAGGCTTAGGATAACAATTTTTGGTAAGACTTGTGGGATTAACTTTACCTGTTAAACTATATATATATAAAGCAAAAGGCAGAGAATGGTGAAACATTCAAAATACCAGAAAATGCCCTTGGTTAATGCAAATATTAAGAATAAAATTATTAATTAAATGAGGATAATATGGTAAATTCACATTTTTTTTCATATTAAATTAAAAGAAAATCAGATAATGGATCCTATTTTTATGGAACACAACTACCCATTATCTTTTTTAATTCTAAAATAAATTTTAAACTTTTTCTAAAAAGCCTCTTGCATGCCCGGAAGCGCGTGCAGAGAGGCTAGTATATTCGAATACAAATTAGTGCTGAAGAAAACCCAAAAATCATTCAAAAATAAAAAATTAAATAAGAAGTGGAAAAGCCATGCTTTCCCTGTATTTGGGTTTTGTTTTGATTCCTACACTCTGAACTTTCCCTCTCTGCGTGAATCAAGCTAAGGCTAGGGTTTTCTTTTCTCTGATCGGCGACGTCATTCACAGAACGTCACTGTAAGTTCCTTCTTCTATTTTCAAAAACTTACTTTTCATTTTCTGAAATCTTCACAGTTCAATGTATTTATTGATTATTATTTCAAAATCAAGACACACTCATAGATATGCTTTGCTTTTAGACTATTCTGTTTGGTTTCCGAGAAATTGGAATAGAAAGTGAAGTATGAAGCGGGTTTTGTGTGTTGCTTTGGTCTCTAAAGATGGAGGTGTTTTGTCATTTAAATTAAAATATCACTAAATTTTGATGCAACTGTGGTGTACTTTGTATTTCCTTCATGTTTACATGTATTTTGTATCTCTCTGAATTTTGATATGAAACTAATCATGGTAGCAAGTGCTTTGTATTTGGAATAATATTTGTTTTACTTGTGAAAGGTTTTCAGTTTTTTATAGGTTGAAGCGGTTATAGTAAGTAGTACCTATCAAAAGCATTGTTCGACTCTCTGTTGCACTTGCACATGATGAATTAAGTAGGATGATGAGTTGGGTTGTCAAATGAGTTTAAGGCTTTTGATAATGTTTTTGAGTGATGAAATGAAACCATATTGGAGGATATCCAAAGGCAGGTCACAAAGTTCCTATAGCTCCTCATACTTGGGTTTTAGAATCGGTATCTCGTGGGGAGAACTTGAATTGCTGTGTATGCTTAAAGTCCATGAGCCCTTCTCAAACTCTTGGGCTTATGACAGCTTCAGACAGTTTTAGTCACCGTTGCAGCACCTCACCTAAGCTGCTCTTCTAGTGCGCACAAGGATTGCAAGTGTGTATCCAAGCATGTGATGCGCCAATGGGCTGTCCGTTGGAATGAGTTAACGTATCAACCTGATGAAACTTCTTTCTGCAGCTATTACATGGGTCTTTTCTTGGTGGATCCCCAAAATATAAATAAATATCAAATCAAACACATTGTCCAAAAAACTTAACAACAACAATTAAAATTGGAAATTGAATATATATAAATAAATTCAAGTTGCAAAAATAAAACATATATCAACAATCTCCAAAAAAATTTCATCCAAACCCTAAATCATAAAAACTTAACAACAACAATTAAAATTGGAAATTGAATATATATAAATAAAAAAAAGAAAAACTTACCGAGATTGAAGAACCCACTGAAGATAGGTTGGTATAGTTTTTTAGAGGAGGAGAACTATTTCCTCTAGGCTCTCAAGGTTCAAATATGGCATTTT